GTGTGTGTGGTGTGTGTGTGTGGTGTGTGTGTGGTGTGTCTGTGTGTGTGTGTGGTGTGTCTGTGTGTGTGTGGTGTGTGTGTGTGGTGTGTGTGTGTGGTGTGTGTGTGGTGTGTCTGTGTGTGTGTGGTGTGTGTGTGTGTGTTGGGGTGCCCTAAGGGAAGTTTGGGGAGATCTCTGGTCTCCGAGACTGGGGGAGGGGGGTCACACCTTTTGAGGGGGCCCTGAAGGGGGCATCCCCGGGACAAATTACGAGGTCTTGGTTCTCTGGAACTTTGGAGGGGTCCCTGTGCTGACTCCTGGGGCGTTCGGTGACTGGAGTGGGGAGGGCGGGACTGGGCAGTAGCTCCGTGCCTGCAGGGGGGCTCTAGGGCAGTAAGTCTGATACCTCAGGGGTCGCAGTAGAAATTTGGGAGGCATGGAGACCTGGTATGGCGCAGTAAGATAAGCACTGGTGTACAAGGTCAGTTTGAAGCACAAGGTCAGAGGTTCAGTTTTACCGACAGCTCCTTGGAAACCCAGTACACGGAACCGGGGGCTATGAGTCGGAACCGGCCCAGAGGCACTCAACAAACAGCACCATGGATGGCTGAGGGGCATTGCCCCCTCTCCCCAGGGATGTGGAGGGAAGTTTTGAGGTGCTGAGGATTCAGCAGGGAGGTTTGGAGTCCCAGCCGAATTCCAGGGGTTCACTGCAGACTGAGGAGAGCCCCACCCCATCAGGGGGTTTGAAAGTAGGCGTGTCTCAGGGGTTCTGGGTGGAGTCTGGCTGGAGGTGTGGCCAGGAGCCAGGCAGCGCCCCATCTTTTCCCCCTGCCTCTGGCTACCGCTAACCCAAAGGCAAGTCCACAGAATGAGGGGTGCTGGGAGAAGCCATCACGTGGAATTTTGGGAGGGGACAGGAATGGTTTCATCCAGCCTCCATGACTCCAGAACCTCTGGATTCCTTGAGAGTGTGAAATCTGTGGTAGACTCTGTGCTTCCCCAGAGCCAGTCTGACCCAGGAGCCTGAGCGTCCCACCCACGCAGCTTCCCCATCTGGAGAATGCGCAAAGGGCTGGACCTGCTATAGTGAGGCTGCGAGGGAAGGGGATGGGGCCTCGCAGATCCCTTACCCTTGGCCTTTCTGGTTTCTGCCCTAAAATGAGACTTGGGGTAGATATGAATGTGTGCTGAGCATTTCTCAAATAAAGTGATAAAGTGACAGGGGCCAACACTTCTGTCCTCCGTGTGGGAAGGCACTCCCCGGGGCAGGAAGCGTGCAAGGGAGGGATTCCAACCCCTTCTCCCTGCCTGTAAGATGGAGATTTCAGTTGTCATACTTTGGGGGGTGGACAGGGATGCTGCTCAACACCCCACAAAGCCCAGAACGCCCCACCCTAAATGATGCTCTGCGGGTATTACCTGGGGGAGTGGGAAGGACAATGATGTTAAGGAATGCTTTGAAAATGTCATTTGAAGTTTTACAAGCGTAACCCACGCTTGTAATAAAAACCCAGTTGAGGTGCAGAGGGTGGGATGAAAGTGCCCCCCGCCCACACTGCCCTTTTCCTGTCCATTCACATTTCTCTGTCACACACATTCATGCCCCAAACCAGGACCCTGTCTAGCATCTAGAGCTTCTTTGTTTGGTGTATGGACCATGGGCTTGGGGACAGCGGCAGAGTGGGAAGTGGCCCCTGATCTGTGGGGAGCAAACTAACAGTGTCGTGTAGAGAAGGACCCCTGCCACACGGCTGCAGGCTCCGGGAGGGGTCCTTCCTGGTCTTCCCCAGCTCTGGTCCCGATATCCCCAGGCTTGTGGGCACATCTTCACAGGACCGGCCTTCCTCAGAGTCTGTGAGTCTCTGCTGTCTCAGGATACCGGTCAGGGAGGATCAGGGCCTCCCCACCGCAGACTTGGGGGGAGTCAGAAGTGACTTCACAGCACTTAACGGCAGCACCAGAGTGGTGGTCCTGGTGGGGGGCTGTAGGGTAAGGTAGGCCCTGGACTGCTAACAACACTTGCCAGCAATGACAATGGTGTGAGACGCCCTAGTGGTCCTGTGGATTAAGCATTGCGCTAACCACAGGAAGATGAGGCTGTCGGCTCCTCTAGGGTTTACGGAAGCAGCCCTCCGTCCTGGAGGGACACTGTAGCTTGGGATGGACTGAATGGCTGAGGGACTTCTGTGTGACCTCCCTCACATTAACTCAGTGATGTCTGTGAAGACCCTGTTTCCAAACAAGGCCACGTTCACGGGTACTGGGCTTTAGACTTCACAAATGTTTTTGTGACATCATTTACCCTATGACAAGAAAGATTCCTGGGTGCTGGACCGGGGTGGGTGGAAGTGGGGCTGGAGGCCAGGCTTTGGGGAGCCTGCCCCAGCCGGCCTTAAAGCTCTGAGGGGAGGGGTCAGTCTTCTGTTTCTCTTCCATCCCCCACCCAGGGGGTGTCCTGTTGCTAGTCAGGCAGCTTCCAGGGCGGAAATGGTACCTGAGCTGGGGCCCAGCCTGAGAGCCCTGGGGATATCCCCACCCTAAGCTTTCAGGACCCTGGGAAAAGGCTGGCCTGCCACCGGGATCCTCACCTCCCCCCTCCTGGCTCATGTTCGAGCACAGCTGAGGGTATTCCTCCGCTGGCTGTTGGCACATAGCCATGCTCTGTCCCCTTTTTGGCGCCCCAGTCCCTGACGGCTGCACGGCTGCACACCTGTTAAGTCGGCTGAAAGCGTCTTTGTGGGAGAGCCCTGGTCTGTTGGCTTCCCGACTGGAACCTTCTAAATCTCCTTGCGTGGATTGTGGTTGGCAAACTCTGGAAAGGGCTCGAGGTGGTCATCTGGGGCTGTTGAATCGGTTTCTCCTCGTGGTACCCCTTGTGTGCAGTGTGGAAGTGTGCCATGGGAGTTTTCTTGGCTGCTTTTTTAAACATTTTATTTTTCACTGTTGTTGCGAATATACACATCAAAACATAACAGCAATTCAGCCCTTTCTGCAGGTTCCATTCAGTGACCTTGATGACACCTTCAGGTTGTCCCACCATCTCCCCTTCCTTTTTTGAGTTGTACCTTCTGCAGGAACATACTCACTGCCCCTTAAGCTGCCTGCCAGATCTTTCCATCTGATCCCACAGAGAGATCTTAGAAGAGTGCGGCGTGTAACGCAGACGTTCATGCCCAGTGAAGCTAAGCTGTTATTTGGTTTTCAGAAAGCTTCAAGGCCTATTTCAGTTTAAGGTTGAAAGGTGATCTCAAGGCAGTGGTTTGGGGATTCATCCAGACTCCATGGCTCCAGAAACTCTGGATTACATGGGAATTGAAAATTCTGTTCTGCATTTCCCCCCTTTTGATTAGGATTCTTCCATAGAAACTTTGATCAAAATATTCAGTCACGGCAGGTAGGCACCGTCCAGTGTGTGGCAAAGGAAGCAGTCTGACTGTAATCTTTTTTTTTTTTTTTTAAACTTTTTATTGTGAATTCAGTGAAGGTTTACAGAGCAGACCATCAGTTTTACATTCAACAAACCATACACTTCGCTTTACTACAATGGTTGCAATCCCCTCCATGGATCAAGAGTTCTGACTCATAGCAACCCCTTATATAGGGTTTTCAAGGAGTGGCTGGGGTGGGTTTGAACCGCTGACCTGTGGTTAGCAGTCCAGTGCTTATCTTAACAGCACCACACCTCTGTTCTCTTTAGCTATTGCGTTCCTCCCTGTGTCACCTGCTACCTTCATCTTTCCTCTGCTAATCTCCCTCTTGTTGTATATTTCCTGTCCCGCCACCATTGTTAACAGGTGTCTATCATCTTTGTTGTTGTTAGTCGGCAGGTCAGTTCCTACTCATAGCAACCCAGTATAGGGTTTCCAAGGCCTTAAATCCCTGTGGGAGCGGAAAGCCTCATCTTTCTCCCTCACACCCCGGTAATAACCATCATAGGATGTTTCAGTTAGCAAGAAAATATGTTCTGAACTTTTTCCAACAGTGGTCTCCTACAGTAACTGTTCTTTTGTGATTGTTGGCTGAAACCTCCACGGCAGTAGGTTCACGCCTTTTCGTCCACACTGTCACTGTGGGAACTACCAACTTCAAGTCAGCAGACAATTTGCAAGCTGTTTGTATCTCTGTAAAGAGCCAGTGAGTCCATATGTTTTGCTTTGTGGGCCAGCTGATCCCTGCAGTGACCAGACCATTTTGCCGTCTGAGCGAGAGCAGCTACAGATGCCTTGTGCCAACAAACCTTGATGTGCACCGTGAACTACATTCAACTCAGGTCATTTACCTGGCTTGTAAAAAGGCCCCCAGCCCCATTTAGGACGCACAGGGCGCGTGCTAGGCTTCTAGATCATTCTAAGCTGTCGTTTGCTGACTCCAGCTATCGACAAACAATTGTGTTGTTAAAACAAAATAGACACCTAAGTGTGTGCACACACAGGGACCCAGGACGCTGCTAGAAGGACTTCAGAACTTTAAACTAGGCTCCCGGGAGCCACAAGGTTGGTGGTTCAAACCTACCAGCTGCTCCCTGGAGCTCCTACACAGGGTCGCTATGAGTTGGAACCCACTCAATGGCGCCTAACAACAATCACAATCACCCTGGGATGACAGAGAGGCAGGGCCAGAACTAGGGCCCTGCAGGTGCCACAAACCTCAGCCATCAGCATAAATGAATGGGCTTTATGCTTTAGAACCTTCCGTTTTAGATTTACAGACATCTAGGAGCTCTGGTAGCGTAGTGCTTACAAGTCGGGCTGCCAGCTTCAAGGTCAGCAGTTCAAAACTACCAGCTGTTCCGCTGGAGAAAGATGAGGCGTTCTGCTCCCGTAAAGATTTACAGCCTCGGAAACCCTGTACAGGGTCAATATGAGTCGGAACCGACTCCACAGCACATAACCACCACCACTCCCAGGAAGATACTGGAGTCCTGGTGTGGCGCTGTGGGTTAATGCGCTGGACTGCAAAGGTCCTTTTGAACCACAAGGGCGCCGTTCAAAGCTCACCAGCTGCTCCTTGGAAACCCCATACAGCGTCGCTATGAGTCAGAACTGGCTTGACGGCGGCACTTAACAACAACAACCAGGAAGATACTACAAAGACCTACCTCCATGTAACCCCACCCCCCAGTTTTCGTGTTACATTGGAGAGGGCAATTTGTCACAATTGTGGGGCTATAGGATAAGCACAAGCTCACCAGCTGCTCCTTGGAAACCCTATACAGGGTCATTATGGGTCAGAATCGACTCAATGGCACTTAACAACAACAAGGATAAGCACTGGGCCACAAAGTTGGCAGTTCAAACCCACCACCTGCTCCTTAGGAACTCTATACATGGTCACTATGAGTTAGAACTGACTCATTGGCACCTAACAACAATGATTTGTCACAATGAGCCAATGTCAGTGAATTACCGTAGTTAAGTAAATGTTTGACGGCTCACTGAAAGGTTGGTGGTTTGAAGCCACCCATTGGCTCCTCAGGGAAAGCCCTGGTGAGTTTCTTCTGTAGTGGAGAGCCCTGTGCGGCGCTTCCACTCTAGAGGCTCAGTGTGAGCCCGAACCCACGGGACCGCACCCACCGACACTGGTACATCCTTAGTAACTAAGCATGCTCTCCACTCAGACGGCCTGTTTGCCGTCCCACCCCCTCTGCCTCCCGTGGGGTTGATGGGTTCCCAGACTTCCCCTGGTTCTGGGACCTTGACGACACGCTGTGCATGTCCATCGTCTGTTGGTGGACACGTGGGCAGCTTCCCCGTGGTGTGGCGCAGAGCCCTGGTGGACCGGCAGGTTTCTGTGTGGATGTGCGTTTCCATATCTCTGAGCAGAGTTGCTGGGCCTCACCCCTGGAGGGACTCGGGGTGTCTGTAAGCCCTGTGCTGAGGGAGGCAGGGAGCGTGTGGAGATCGCTGAGAACTTAGAGGTGGCTGGGGTGGGCTGAAAGGTGACGGAGCCTCCAGGGTGAATGGGAGTGTGCGTGGGAGGCAGGCAGGGGCTGTGTTGGGGGGGCACCTGGTTCTGCCCAGGCCGTGGTCACCACACACCCTGGTGGCCCCACTGAGCCACCTGTCTGGATGAGGGCTCGCTGGGCTGCCCCAGCTGTCCCAGCCCCTGTGGGGACTGGGCACCTGTGCTGAGTTGGAGCTTGGACCGCACCCCAGCAAGGGAGTCAGCAGATGGCAGTGGGCACAGCTGTCAGTGGGGCAGTTGTCGGTGGGCCTGGGCCATAGCTGGTGACCAAGCCCCGTCCTGCCCTGTGGGGGGGGTAGGGTGGGGTGAAACTTTACTGTGAGCACCTGGTAGAAGAGGGGTGGGGGCAGGCAGCCCCCAGAGAGGAGACCCCGTGGACTAGTGTCCTGTCACATCCTCAGGGTGACAGTCAGCTCCACTGCAGAAGCTCTGGCTGGGGGGTCCATGACCTTTTAGTCCTTCAACGGAGTGTTCCTGGCATGCAGGGCTGGAGGCGGGGGTTGGGCTCCCACCACAGAGGTGGGCAGCTGCCTGTGACTGGGAGTGGTCTGGGGTGGCGAGCTTCCCATGAGTGCTGTCAGGAGGCTGTGGTCACAGCCCATCAGCCCTGCAGTCTGGATTCACCGTGTGGGTGGGGCCAGGCTCCCTCTGGAGGTTGGGGGGACGGGGGGCAGGCGTCTAACTTCTGGTGGCCCTGAAAATCCTTGGCTGTGGTGGCCTCTTCACTGTGGCTCTAATTCACAAGTACAGGGGTCGAACTCCTCCTGGGTGTCTTTTGGGGACCCAACATTGGTGCTGTGTTGGGAGCCTGTCTCATGTCGGTGGCGTGCTAGCAGCCAGCAGCAGGGCTTCAGGGCAGGGTGGCCGTTCGTGGCACGATGCCAGTCACTCCCCCTTGGCTTCTGTCCCCTAGGTCAGTGGGATCAAGGCACTGTATGAATCGGAGCTGGCAGACGCTCGCCGAGTTCTGGACGAGACGGCCCGGGAGCGCGCGCGGCTGCAGATTGAGATTGGGAAACTGAGAGCTGAGCTGGAGGAGGCCAACAAGAGGTGAGAGCTGCCCGCTGGGGGCCGCAGTGTCCACCCCCTGCCCTGAGCCATGGTGACCACCAGGCGCGGCCACCCTGCTAGACTGCCGGTGCTCTTGGGGCACCCCTGTCCCTAGAGGGCCTGTCTGAAGCAGGAATGTTCTGCCTGCTGAGACAGTCCACCTGTGCTGTTAAAGCAGCATCTGCTGCCGGCTCCCCTGTTCACTGGTGAGGGCAGTGAGGCGGGTTAGAGCGCTCCATGAAAGAATGCTCGTCTGCCGTGTGGGAAACCGGGTTTGATTCCCAGCTAGTGCGCCTGTGCACACTCACCACCCATGTGTCAGTGGCGGCCTGTGTGGTGTGATGCTGAATAGGTGTCAGCAGAGCTTCCAGACTGAGACAAGGAAGAAAGTCGGGCACACTTCCAAAGGTCTCCCGGTTCTCCCAGCCAGCACGCTGCTGTGTGTGAACAGGGGCTGAGGAGTGGCTTTGAGGGGCCTTGGCCTTCCCCCATGCCTTCAGAGCTTGGAGAGGAGCCGGTTGTGTGCATACACCTGCCTGCTCGGAACCTGAGTGTGTGCTATTGCAGACATGGCGCTCGGGAGAAGGTTTCGTCTGTTACCACTTGTAGCTTTAGCAAATGAGCCCTCAACGGCTTTGTGCTGTGGGGACACAGACGCTGACCATTTTAACCCTTTTTAAGTGTACAGTTTGTTGACATTAATTACATCCACCATGATGTGACCATAACCCGTCGGCACTGCCAAAGCTCTGGTATCACCCTAAATAGGAACTCAGCCCTGGGAAACCCCGACCCACTTCCGTCTCTGGATTTGCCTGGTCTGGACATTTCCTAGGAGTGGGACCCTAGGGTGCCTGCCCTTTTGTCTGGTTTCTCTGACTGAGCCTCGCGTTTAAGATGCATCCATGTGGTGGCATGCAGGCAGCAGCATTTGAGGAGCCCCCACATTGTTTACCACAGTAGCTACACCACCTCAGAACCCTACCAGCAGTGAGTGAGCGTGCGATCCCTAGTGGAAAATCCAGCGTTCTCCCTGAATGATCATCTGTTCAAAACCACCAGGCCTTGCCTTCTCTGAGCCTCTGGGTTGGCGGGGCCGCTGCCGACACCTGGTTTTCTGTCTTGAAGAGCAGGGTGCTATAGTCCCATCCCCTGTTGGACCATCGGGGGCCCCTGTACTTGGGGCTTAGCTGTTTGATCACGTGGCCATCCGTTGTCTGTGCTGTGTGCCCAGCTCACTGACCCTCTTTTCTTCTAGTGCCAAGAAACGGGAGGGAGATCTCACAGTGGCCCAGGGCCGCGTCAAGGACCTCGAGTCCCTGTTCCACCGCAGTGAGGCGGAGCTGACCGCAGCTCTTAGTGACAAGCGTAACCTTGAGAATGAGGTGGCCGAGTTGCGGGCTCAGCTGGCCAGGGTAAGTCGGGCGGGGCCTGGCGTCCGCCCCAGTCAGAGGTGGGCTCCTCTCCGGGGGGGCTGGGGCGGGGTGCCTGAGGGACATCCCAAGGGGGTGTGGGTGCCTGAGGAGCTGGTGGGGTCCAGCGGACAGGCTGTCAGTTCTCAGTGTGACACCTGCTGTCCCGCAGGCAGAGGATGGCCACACTGTGGCCAAAAAGCAGCTGGAGAAGGAGACTCTAATGCGCGTGGACCTGGAGAACCGCTACCAGAGCCTGCAGGAGGAGCTTGACTTCCGCAAGAACGTGTTTGAGGAGGTAGTGGCTCCGGGGTAGGAGCCGCAGACGGACTCTGCGAGTGTGAAATCAGGGGGCGGGCAGGGCTGTGCGTCCTGCGCCTCTGTGAGAGCGAGCTCTCCGTGGCCCCCACTGCTCTGGGGTTTGTGACGCACCAATTCAGTCTCTGTCTCTCGTCACGTGGGCTCCTCCGTGTGCTTCTTGTAAGGTCGTTGGAGTTAGGGCCCACCCAGATAATCCAGGGTGATTGATTGCCTTAGCCGCCGATCTGTCACATAATCCCATCTACTCAGCCTCTTTTTCTAAACAAATTTGGGGGAATACTACATAGATACATCTTTTGGGGGACATGATTCCCAGTGTTCTTTCTGTTAGAGGGAGGGGTAAGAGCCATCTGTCGCCCAGCTTCCTGGGCCTCTGCTAGATCCACAGCTACCCTGTGACCTGTTTTTTATGGGTGACTGAGCCCTGTGGGATGTTTGGGCGTGATTGGGAGTGGCGGGGGTCCCCACAGGTGGAGCTGGAGTTTCTGCGCGGTGGTGGAGAAGCCCCGGCCCCCAGTCCCACCCCTGGACCCATCATAGAGCCCATTGTGTCATCATAGCCCTGGACAGAACCCCTGGTACAGGGCGGGCCCTTCGGGCAGTCACTGCCCTGGAGAGCTGCTAGCTGGAAGGATGTCGATGCAGCTGAGGAGAAACTCCTGGCTCCGGCCAGGCCTAGCGCGATCAGTCAGTGAGGAGGCCATGGGCAGGGCTGTGCGGGAACCCAAGGGGGAGTCTATGAAGGAACTTCTGAGGGGACTTGTGAATAATCTTGAGGGGAAACCTCTGAAGGACACTGTGAAGGGAGCCTTGAAGGAACCTTTTAAAGACTCTGAGGGAAAGAGACTCTTGGGAGGAACCATGAAGGACCCCGAAAGGGAACCCCTGAAGGAACCCTTAGGGAAGCCTGGGAAGTCCTTCAAGGGGGAACTCATGAAGGACCTTGAGGGAGAACCTGATAGGGAATCTTCGAAGGATCCTGGGGCAAAAACTATGAAGAAACTGGAGGGGGAGACCATGAGGGACTTTGAGGAGAAACATGTGACGAATCCCAGGAGGAAACCCATGAAGAGACCCTTGATGGAATCTATGAAGGACCCCGAGAGGGAACCCTTGAAGGTACCTATGAGAGGGCCTGAGGGGAAACCAGTGACGAATTCCAAAAGGGAACCCATGAAGGGACCCTTAGGGAAGCCTGGGAAGTCCTTCAAGGGGGAACTCATGAAGGACCTTGAGGGAGAACCTGTGAAGGGTCTTGAGGAGGAACTCATGAAGAGACCCTTGAGGGAATCTGTGAAGGACCCTGAGAGAAAACCTGTGAAAAACCCCAAGAGGGGACCCAGGAAAGATTCCGTGAAGAACCCTGAGGGGGACCTCAGGAAGGACCTCAAGGGGGAATCCATGAACAGACCCTTGAGGGAATCTGTGAGGGAACCCGTGAAGGGCCCTGAGTGGGAACCAGTGAAGAGACCATTAGAGTCTGTAATAGACTCTGAGGAGAAACCTGTGAAAAACCCCAAGAGGGAGCTTCTGAAAGGACCTGAGAGGGAACGTGTGAAGGGCCAGGAGGGGGAGCCCATGAAAGACCCTGAGGAGAAACCTGTGAAGAACCCCAAGAGAGAACCCATGAGAGGAGTCTTGGGGGAAACTGCCAAGGACTTGGAGCAGCGACCCGTGAAGGACCTGGAGGAACAACCCATGAAGAACCCTGAGGGGGAACCTGCAAAAGACCCCAAGGGGGAACCCAGGATGAAATCCTTGGGGGAACCCATGAAGGACCCTGATGGGAAAGCCGTAACGAACCCCAAGAGAGAACCCATGAAAAGACGCTCGAGAGAACCTGTGAAGGATTCTAAGAGGGAGCCCATGAAGAGACCCTTGGAGGAACCTGTGAAGGCCCCCGAGGGGAGACCTGTGAAAAGACCAGTGAGGGGCTCTTTGAAAGAACCCCCGAGATGCTGCATGGGCAGACAACCTAGGAGGGCAGCTGTGAAGAAGGGAGCCATGAAGAAGCCACCTAGAGGCCCCACAAAGAGACCCTCGAGTGACCCTGTGAAGAGACCCATGAAGGCAGCCTTGAAGGGCCCCCTGAGAGGAGCTGTGAGGGGCTCCTGGAGGAAGCCGATGAGGTGCGCCATGAAGGGCATGGCACGTGGAGCCATGAGGGGCAGCGGAAAGGTGAGTGTGCTGGTGTGGACTTAGCCCTGGGAGCACTGGGGCCGCAAGGCTCATATATGTTCAGTGTCAAAATTAATTGTTTTGTTTTTTTTTAAAAAAAACACCAAATCAGTCAGTCGCCCAAGTAGTCTGGCTCGATTTCTGTAGTAAATGATTTCTAGTGACGCCTTCTCAGCCCGAGTCCGGCTCCAGACGCTGCCCTCGGTTCAGCTCGGAGCCCTCCCTGCTGCCTGCTCTTGGCCCCTTGGTGAGTGGGGCAGGCGTCTCAATGGGCAGCACCCTGAGGACTGGACCTCCCTCCATCCCACTGGTGGGCTCATTAGGGCACCAGTGCCCTGCCATGGGACATCGCCAGGTACCAGGGAAAAGGGCTCAGTCAGTAACTTCCTCTCCTTCCATCTTGCTCTTCCGTACTATAAAATTGGTATGCCTGCCAACTCACAATTGACCGCTCTTAGAATGTTCGGAGGTGTTCCACCGTGATCCCGGTCTAATTCCAGAACACTTCCTCACCCTAGAATTCCCTTCTTGTGCCCATCCTGCTCCCCCACGCTCCAGGCAACAACGAAGCCATCCTGTCTGTGACTGTGTCTGTTGGGGACATTGCGCATCGGTGGCATCCTTGTGTGCCCTTTTGTGTTCGGCTTCCCTATCATGCCTTCGAGGTTCATCCATGTTACAGCATCGTATTCTAGTGCCGAGCAGTGTTCCCTGGTGTGGCTGGACCACGTTGCGTTTGTCCTTCCGCTGTGGTTCCCACTTCTCAGTGATGGGGGGCCGTGCTGTGGCTGGGCGCATTTGGGTGTCCGTTGATGACTCATGACCGAGTGACCAAGGTGCTTCTCTAGTTAGGTCAAGGTCACAGATGGCACGACGGACGCAGCCTCGTAGGGTGGTTGTCTGTGTTTTCCTGGGGGGGGCTAACTCATTTGCTCCTGTCCCCCAGGAGGTGCGAGAGACGCGGCGGCGGCATGAGCACCAGCTGGTGGAGGTGGACAGCAGCCGGCAGCAGGAATATGACTTCAAGATGGCGCAGGCGCTGGAGGAGCTGCGCAGTCAGCATGACGAGCAAGTGCGGCTGTACCGCCGGGAGCTGGAGCAGACCTATCAGGCCAAGGTGGGCGGGGCGGGGGCGCGGGGAGGGCCGGACTACCTGGAGCCGGCCTATCAGGCCAAGGTGGGCGGGGCGGGGGCGCGGGGAGGGCCGGACTACCTGGAGCCGACCTATCTATCAGGCCAAGGTGGGCGGGGCGGGCCGGACCACCTGGAGCAGACCTACCAGGCCAAGGTGGGTGGCCAAGGTGGGCTTGGGCTGCCCGTGCTCGCTCCCCTTCCTTCGGGCAGCGCCTTGACCCTGTCCGTCGCCCCTCGCAGCTGGAGAACGCCAAGCTGAGCTCCGAGCAGAACGACAAGGCAGCCAGCGCGGCCCGTGAGGAGCTGAAGGAGGCCCGAGTGCGGGTCGAGTCCCTCAGCTACCAGCTGTCCGGGCTCCAGAAGCAGGTGAGCCTGCGAGCCCCCTGCCCTGGGTGGTCGGTGAGCCCGTGTCAGCTGGTGCCTGGGGACGCCACACTGTGCTGCCGGGCAGGTGCCCCTCCCCTGTTGGCTTTGGTCCTTAGGGCCGTCCCGCCATCTGTCCTTTGATCTGACTCGTCCCTGCCCCTCTGCCCAGGCCAGTGCTGCTGAGGACCGCATTCGGGAACTGGAGGACACCATGGCCGGGGAGCGGGAAAGATTTCGGAAGATGCTGGACGCCAAGGAGCGGGAGATGACGGAGATGCGGGATGTGATGCAGCAGCAACTGGCTGAGTACCAGGAGCTGCTGGACGTAAAGCTGGCCCTGGACATGGAGATCAACGCCTACCGCAAACTCCTGGAGGGAGAGGAGGAGAGGTGGGGGCGGGGCGCGAGCGGGAGAGCGGGGTGTGACCAGGAGGGGCGGGGCCGGCCCTGCTGTGGTTTCCAGCCCTCCTGAGGTCACCTGGTCCTGGAGAGGTGGGGGCGGGGCCGGCCCTGCTGCGGCTCCAGCCCTCCTGAGGTCACCTGGTCCCCTGCAGGTTGAAGCTGTCTCCCAGCCCATCCTCCAGGGTGACCATCTCCCGAGCTACCTCGAGCAGCAGCGGTAGCAGCGTGTCGGCCGGGGGGCGCCCGGGTCGCAGCAAGCGGAAGCGGCTGGAGGCGGAAGAGGTGCTGGGCTCGGCCTCCACCGGCCTTGCCCTGGGTGGCGGTGGCGGTGGTGGTGGTGGCGGCGGCGGCGGTAGCTTCCAGCTATCCCAGCAGGCGTCCTCCACGGGCAGTGTCAGCATTGAGGAGATCGACGTGGAGGGCAAGTGTGTGCGTTTGAAGAACAACTCGAACAAGGTGAGGCCGCCTCGCTGGACGGAGGAGCCGTGCCGCTTGCTCCTCCCCAGGGAGCCCCGTGTCACCGGGCTGCTGTTTGTGCAGGACCAGCCTCTGGGGAACTGGAGGATCAAGAGGCAGGTGGCGGAAGGGGAGGAAATCGCCTACAAGTTCACGCCCAAGTATGTCCTGCGGGCTGGACAGACGGTCACGGTAGGTGGTGTGGGCAGTGAGTAGACTCTCCGGGGGGGGGG